AATTACTTTTTATAAAAAGTTAGTAGAAAGTATGTTAATTAGAATAGAAAAATGTATTTACAGAAATAAATGGTTTATAAGTTATTAAATATAATAAAATAAATTTTTTTTTGTGTTTAAATACTTTCTTTAGAGTAATATATCAATTAAGTTCAATAAGATTAGAAAGCATTTTTTTCCTTTTATGAATGCTTTTCTTAACATTCACTTACAAATTCTCAATTGGATTAAGATCTAAGTTTTAAGTGAGCCATAAAAATATACATAGATTATTTTTTATATGAAACTTCTTTGCAAGTTTCATTTTATAAAGGTAAGCATTATCCTTCTAGAATATATCATCAATATTTGAAAATATTGTCGCATAGTTGGAATAGAATGCTTTTGAAGAATGGTAATATGTGTAATACCAGTTATTATTCCAAATAATGGAATAATGGTTCCTAAGCCTTGTCTTGAAAAGTTTCCCAATATATTTGGTTAGGGCTGTATTTTATTGTAGTATAAACACAAGAAATATTCTACTTTTCTTGAGATTCTTATCACACTTGACTATGTTGGCTTTATTGAAATTGAAAAAAGGTTGATTTGTCATTTCACATAACTTTTGACTAATCTTCTTTTGTTTAGCTTTGATAATCTAAATACCATATAAGACGTGCTTCCATATATGCTAGTTATATTAGAAGCTTTCTTTGAGTAAGACAATTGTATAACATGAAATATCTAGCCAATAATATGAGTTGAAACATCTTGGCCAGTCTTTTTTCCAAAGTTGTTTAACTTTTCAATGTATGAATGATGATTTTTTCTTTTATTATTGGTTACAAGTCACTTAAGCTGGCTTTATTATGAAGGTATAATAAAAGCGGTCGACTAGAGTGAGGTTTTGAATTAGTAGTTCTGGTGGCATCAATTCTTTGTAAAGTATCAAATACTATTGACGCTTCAAAATTGATAGTCTTAACAATAGTTCAATAACTATCACCATGGTGATGGTAAAAAATATAACACCTCATTATTTTGCTATTAATTTTTGAGTCATTTTTGTTATTTTTAGAAGATTAATTTTTTTTTATTCATATTCAAAATAAACAAATCAAATGTGCATTTATTAGGTTTGATTTATATAAACAAAGTCTAGAACATCATGTAACCATAGTATTTATTAGTTTATATGATGTTATGGTATTAAATCGTATCTAAAAAATGTTATTCAGAGACTTTTTGCAGAGTTCTATATTTTAGTGTTATGACAATTAAGGAGTTGGGTAAAGTTGGTAAAATAGTTATTCAAGTACTTTGATAATAAAGTTTCATTAAAGAGTTGGATAAAGTTGGTAGGATAATTATTTTAGTATAAATAAAATAATAAAGACCGAATCTAGTATTTCAAATTTTAGAAAATTTCTTCGAAGTACAATTTTCAACGTGAAGATGCTACGAATTTTGAAACTATGTATTGCAAGTCTTGTATAATATTATTAGTAATTTTTATTTAATATATTTTCACATTGAAAAGATTGCATATAAAAAAATTAGTTCCCGTATGGAAACTTTAATATTTATCAAATAATTAATTTTTTGCAAAATTGTAAATCCCTTATTGGCGGTAAAAGTAAATATTTGCAACTATGTATGGTTTTAGAAAAAAATACTATTAAAATTAATCATTTATTTTTTGAATTTTGTAGGTAATTCTTGCGTTTGTAACTATATACGTTTAATTTTTTGGTAGTTGCTACGATTCCTTTACCACGACATGATAAAAATACATTAATACTTGTTTTCGCCCAATACCCCCATGACCTCGTCAAAAACAAATGATTCTGAATCAAATTTATAGAAAATTTAAATCAATAATAAAGTCAGGAAATTATAAGGAAAAGCGGCTTAGGCCATAAATTTTATTGGATAATAATATAAGACAAATACATATCGAAGAAAAAATAAAAAAAAACTATCTAATGATAAACTATCAGAAGCACTTCGAACATAGGACAAGTGAACCTATAATTTCACACTTGAATTGCAATAGTACGAGATGATTTAAGTTGTACAAAGACTTTTATGATCATGTACGCTCATCTTTTTTTCTAAATCCACTATTAAAGATATTTACTAATTTTGGTGGAGAATAGGTATTCTACATAACTAGAGCGAGACGACTAGGAGAAGTATAGGAAGTTATAACCTCCAATCGAGAGGATATTTCTTTCTATATTTTTTGGTCCTTGAGTTCAGGGAGTGATTCACCTACAGCAGATATATTAACTAAGGCTATTAGTGTTATAAATATATATAGATTTTGAAAAATAAAAGGAAATTATAAAAAAAATAAAAATAACAATAAAGGAAGGGAGCGTAATCCTAGAAGAGCCGAAGCCGTACAACGAATGTAGTTAGTAAAATTAATCGTCAGAATGAAGGCGATACACATTGATTTAAAAACATCCATTATCTCTTGATAATAATCAGCGTTATTGTTGTTTTTCAACTTCTAAATTGTCAACACGGACGTAGTCCTAAAAGAGCCTAATCGTACGACTTTCGTTAAGCTTTACCTGAAAAATTCATATAAAAGTACATAAATACATATACAAGAAGAAATAAAAGAGAAACTAACTAAAACTAAACTAGCAGAAGCACTTCGACGCAAATTGAACATAGGACAAGCGAACCCATATTTTCTACTTGCTTTGCCAATAGTACGAAACGAGAGGATACTTCTTTCTATATTTTGGTCCTTAAGTTCAGGGAGTGAATTCACTGACCAGCAGATGTATCACTTTAACTAAGGCCATTTGTGTTTATATTTATTTTATTTTTTTATTTTGTTTATTTTTTTTTTAAAAATGAAAAAAGAAAATGAAATTATAAAAAAAAAACAAAATGAAGGGAGCGTAGTCCTAGACTACCTTTTGATAAGTGTGTCGGCATTGTCGCTGTGTTTCACCTTCTAAATTGTCAGTAAGTTCTTGCAAAATAACAGCTCGTGCTTTATGTTGTTGAAGAAAAGATTAAAATGTTATATTTGAAAATTTGCGATATATATTATATTAAATGTTTTCAAAAAAAAATGATTGGCTAAAAATGTGACACAGCATTCGTAATCCTTATTGTGATCGGCTCATGTGCCATCGAATTTTCCTTTAAAAAATCGAGAGAAATGATTATGTAATTGCAAACAATTTGGAAATCACTTGAATTATTAAGAATCAATTATTCCAACCGATAAGCTTTTCATAAACTTAGTGATTGATTGAACCCCCTTTAACAAAATATATTTAAACAAAATTTACGTACAACTCGATTAATTAAAGTTTATACAACTATGAAACTTCGAATGTAAAAACAGGTTTTCAATTTTTTGCGCGACACAACGATTCCGTATGAAATATTTTGTCAAAATAACCGTATAATAAAGTGATAAAACTTACGCCCTATGGTTATTAATTAATTCCTTTTGTGTTAAAGATTTTACTAATTAAAAAGTGTAAATTGAAGACATTTAATAAAGGTTGGAACTTATCTCTCTTTTTTTTTTTTTTAAATCGCTTACTATCTTAATGCTCAAAAAAAATAAAACTTAAAACTTATTAAGTTTTGATCAAAAAATCGTAAAAAAATTTACTAATAAACAAATAATTTAAAATGTGTCGACAAAGGATGTAAGTCTCTACTAATTTATCATTAAAACATCTTTGCAAATGATCTTTAAATAGCTTTATGATGTATCGCAAAACCTAACGCAATGGGAATAACGAGCTAGAGCTCTTTATCGCCATTGGTATGCTTAATTTTCTTTGTGCATCGATCGTATTATGTGAGAAACTACGGACAACCCTTTATTAAATTTATTTTCACTAAGAGTTTTTATTCATATATATTCGTGTTATTGTTCATGTATAGCAACATAATAAAAAATTTTTTTTAATAACAGCGGCAATTCAGCATGTGTATTAAATTTCAATGTTATAATATACTTAGTTCAATAAGGTTAGTTAATTATATACAGTGCCCGGCAACAAATCACCGGTCACCTTAAAATAGGAAATGATCATCCAAAAAGTTTCGTTTAATAAAATTATAAAGTTTTCTTTTATATAACAAAATGTTCATAATTTATACTTTTTTTTTTAAAAATTTAATCATTATAAATATAATGGTTTTATCCAAATTTTCGCGTCTTTAATGCAAAATTTCAGCTATAATTAGACATCGAATTTTTCAGTTTTAATTTATATTGGTTGATTAAAAGCCATAATTATTTAAATTTTCAGGTCGATTGCATTAATACTCGAAGAGCTCGACTTGTTCAAGAAAATATTTACTAAATTTATACAATATTTATTCAAATAACAAATAAAATATTTTTTTTTTTTTTATTTAAGAAAGACGAACTCCTTGTATATTAATTCAATCGATCTGAAAATTTAGAAAATTAGTATCTACAAGTTTAAGGTAAATAAAATAAAATATAATTAAATAAATATTCATCTAACATTCTTCTTTTACATTCATAATTTCGGTATAATATTTCATGTCAATGTGAATTTAGGAACAATGTAAGGAGTTTTTCAAAAATCCGATGGCATTTTAATCGATTGAGTGATCATTTAATTTCAACCGCCGATCATTAAAACACGGATCATTTAAACTCATATGAGTTAACTCGTTAATAATGGCTTTTTCACTTACCATAATTAATCACATCATTATTTTATTTATTTTATTAAAGGATCCCGTGTTGAAAATTATAAAATTTGAACATGCACGAACTTACGGGTGTAACTTCCATTGTTGGTTGTAAAGAAAATAAAAAGGCGGGAAATTTCTGTTTATAGTAATATAAATTACCCAAATAATTATGTCGATCAAAAAAAAAAAAATAAAAAAATAAATACAGTGTAAAGTGAGAATCATTTCGTTTTTCATCAAAAAAAAAAAAAAATTATTTAAATAAATTATATCAATAAATTCATTCATTCGTTTTTTAAATGTCTTCAGGTCAATATTACACAGAAAAGGATGCTTTTTTCGTTGATTCAAGTGAAAGTATAAAAATTGAAGTCTTTCATTATCCTCCCGCCAATATAATATCGGTAAACTTTCAATAAATTTTAGACCTAATTTCTTTTTTAAAAGATTGTAATAATTAAATTTATATAATAGAATAATCCTCCTATTCTATTCATTCATGGATTAAGTCTTGCGGCTTGGGTTTGGGATAATTTTTGTCGTTGGTTCTCGAATAAAGGACATGATTGTTACGCTATGAGGTAAATAAATTTTCAAGAAACAAAGAATTGATTAAAATCTTTAATTTTTTTTTAAAAATGATATCTTAGTTTTCGAGGACATGGACAAAGTACAAAGACTCCAAAGAAAGATAAATGGTGGTCAATAAATGACATTACAAATGATGTATCAGCCGTGACTGATGCAATAATTGCTAGAACTGGTGATAAACCTGTTCTCGTTGGGTAATTATTATCAATATTTATAAAATTTTTAATTTTATATTAAATTCATTTCTCTTTCTTTGCTTTGCTAGACATTCACTTGGGGGAGGCATTGTTCAAAATTATCTAAAAAATAATCAACAGAAAGTGGCGGGTGTTGTTTTATTTGCCTCATTTTCACCGTACATCTACAAATCAGGCCCCTTCAAATACACTCGTAAAGCAGTTTCAAATACGCCAATTCTTGCTATCCTTAAAGCGCTATTTACATTAAACCCGTATGCATTAATTGGAACTCCTGAATTAATGAAAAGGTTTTCCTTTTCTAAAGCATTTCCTGATTCTATGGCTAAGGATATTCATCCAAAACTCAATAAGGTTAGTTTTGTTACTGTTGGGATTGAACTTCTTAAACCTTTTGTTGACCCTTCGAAAATTAAATGTCCTATGATTGTGATTGGTGCTGAAGAAGATAAACTTTTTGATTTAAAAATTATAAAAGAAACTGCCGATGCTTATGATGTTGGATTTGATATCATTGGAGGTGCTGCTCACAGTATTATGTTGGACCTTACATGGGAGGATGCTGCTAGTGTAATTTTCAATAGAATTCAAGAAAAAGTTGTAAACAAGGAATAATAATCTCATACCCGAATATGCTTGACTTTTTCGACAAGTATAATTGAGGTACCATATTGTTCATGATTTAACTAACTACAAATTAAAAGTTATTAAGTTATTAAAAGTATGGTGCTGGATTAAAATAAATTACATATGGTAGATTAATAATATTTGGAAAAAAATAGAATGCTTGATTTTTCTAATTTTAAGATTTCTTCTCGTTTTAGAATTTTTTATTTTTACATTAAATTAATTCAGTTAAAATAAAAATTTAATAAAAAATCTATAACTATAGCGATAATACCTAGTAAATTAACATCTACATTTTTACATTAAATTTTTTTTTCCAAAATTTTTACAAATATCAACGTTTTTTCAATGTTTCAAAAAATTATTCTAATTGTTTTATTCCTTGAATCATTTTACAAAAGCAGCCGACAGAGATTTCTAGTTCAAAGAAAGTTATTTTGCTGGAGCATTCGTTAGGCTATAAAGAAATTGATTGCTGTGGATGTATTGTTGCCAGAGGTGTCTATTTGAAGACCAAACTAAAATTTTCATAGAACACATAATTCATTTAAAGCTTCAATTGCTAATCGTTTGTCATTAAATTTATGATGAGGTTACTGATATTTAAAACATTAATAATAAATGTAGCTTGAATTAACTTAACATGCCCAGAGTACGTTCAAGTTGATCATAATCTCATAAATTTATTGAAGATATCCCGAATATCTTCTTTAACTTGTGCCATTAACGAAATCTTTTTAATAAAGATAAAAATATTCTCTTCAAACCTGTCTTTATAATTGTTTTATTCTTATCTATAATAAAGTCGCCTTTTTTAAAAATTATGGTTTGTGTAACCAAACATCGAATTTTTCTTGTAACACTGTTTCAATTATTTTGAGCGCGCCAAACTTATGTGATAAAAAAAAAAAAAAGAATTTCATTAATATAAAATGATTTTATACCTACTTTAAACAAAAATTCCTCGTACAGGTAAATCATGATTGTAATAAAACTTGGAATCTCATGATAAACAAGTGATGAATGAACATATTATATGTAAAACAAATGCCATGAAATTTTTAAATTTTGGCTTATTCTCATTTATAGTTGAACGCAATACTTAATACTTCTAATGAATCTTATTTCAATTGTTAATGAAAATGATAAATTTCGTAAGTGCTGAATTTTTTTGATTAATTGTTTTCACCAATTTCAGAATTATTATTTTCTTTTTCATAGGAAATAATGATATTTACTCTTGATAATATGATAATTGTATATACTTGGACGACTAAGAACAAACCCTATTTATTTAGTAAGTTGAAATTGAAGAAGTAAAAAAAATTCGAAGAATAAGGTTTGATTCGTCATTTTTAATCAAAAGTACAGTATATAAAATTAAAATGCGAATACGACATGTTAAAAGGATTGCTGTTCATTAATTATACTTTACTAACGCGCCTATTACATTGATTAAACTGAATAGCTCTTTGAATAATGTAAAAATGAAATATATCAATAAATATAGTTTCTTATATTTGTGTTTTGCGATAAAAATAAAGAAAATTAATTTTTGGAACAGAACGACTCTTAGGAGGGCCGGTCTTAGACATGTCCAACAGTATTTTTGGTCCGAACTTGACCAATCTGTCTGAAAAAGATCATGCAATGGATTTTCAAAATTTCTCAAATATGGCAAAGATTAATTTGACCATCATGTCAATTTCTATTCTTGTAGAAGCAAGAAAAGTAGAATTGAATGTCTTATATCACATTATATAAATAAGCTGATCCCGAATTAAAGCTTTGGGCAACACAGAATATGGTTGGGCGAACTCTACATATCAATAAATTCAATATTTTGGTTTATGTATTATAAATGAGCTTAAGGCTGGAATAATTAATTAAGTAAATTACATAATAAATTAATTTTTTTAGACTTCAAAAATTTGGGCAACTATGCCGAGAATCACAACCACTTCCACGGGATCGACAAGAAACGAATAATTTCTTCCGAGAATCACGACCGCACGGATGGATTTCTTCCACGGATCACTACCGCTTCAGCAGGATCGATAAAACGGATAGATTACTTCCGAGAATCATGACCGCTTCAATGGGATCGAAAAAAGGGTATATTTCTTCTACGGATCACGATAACTTGCTTCGGGATCGATAAAACTGATGGATCTCTTCGAGAATCACGACCATTCTATGAGATCGATAAAAACCGATGAATTTCTTCCAAGGATTGATAGTGATTTCTTCCGGTAATCGCAACCGACTTCAATGGATCGATAAAAGGATAGTTCTTCTACAGACCATGACCACTTATTGTGGGATCGATAAGACCGGATGATTTCTTCCAAGAATCACGACCATTTCCTATGGGATCGATAACACGAATATATTTCTTTCTAGGAATCACAGGATCCTCCTAGAGATCCGAGAATAGGGTCGTTTCAGTCCCAAGAACGGACAATATATATCAAAGCATCGCATCGTTAAAGCAATATTTGGGGAAAATAACATATAAATTGCCTTCCTTATATTCCGCAAACAATCTTGGTAAGTTGCTGCCAACAACGAAACAAATTTTGCATCTGTTTTGTCAGTATTTATTTGTAACTCCACACGTGAAAATTTTATCAACATTTTTATTTTGGTTTTACCGAATGCCAAATTCAAATCCTATTCTGCAAGGATTTTAAATACCATTTTTAATAAAGTTAAGTTTTACAAAATATAATATAAAAGTTAAAAAATGACATTTATCTTGTAGCATTCCTAAAAATAATATAACTTAAAAAATTTTGTTTTGTTTTATTTTTAAAAAAGAATTTTTCTAACCATAACCGGCGGTGACCATCACCGCACCACTACTGCGTCTCATATAATATTATCGGTTAAAAAAATTTAAATTAAACAAAATAAACACAATAAAGAAAATTTAGCATTTAAAACCTTTTATTCTTGCGTTGCAACAGATCTGAAATTTATTATAAAAAAGAAAAAATTCCGACGACCGAAGGGAGCCAATTATTCAAATAATATTTGTTTCACAAAACATAATCAACAAAGTTAAGCAGAAACTATGAAGTTGCTTTGCTGCTTGGTACATTTCCTGGCGTTATGACCAGACCACATTCTCCACATACTTTGCATATATATTTCGTTTACTATTATTTTTTGTTTATGACTTCAGCATCAAGTTCATCATTGGCATATACTTCATTAGAATTAAGAGTGGATAAAGGATTTCTTGATGTAGATGAATGAGACTGTTGCGTGTTTACGTGTAAATTTGGATCGAGTGGATTAATTGCACTAGTATTTCTACTATGATGTAAACTCTCTGATGCGGATTTAATTCTTTATTTCGTTAAATGTAAATAAAACATCTCAATCAATATCAAATCAAAAGCTTGCCTTCTATCATCATATTTGTATCCATTAAGAAAAATGTTAAATAAGAAAGAAAAAAGATTTTTTTTTAAAAAAAAGAAGGAAAGTTAGTTTCGTGAATACGAAGAGAGAATTTATATTTATACTATAATAGTATATTTATTAAATCGATGATGTAATAATTACATAATTGTATCGTATCACGCCGGTTATTTAAGTTAAATTCTTATTATTAATAAAAAAGAAAAATTTAAAAAATTAAAAATTCATTAAAAAAAGGTGTCTATTATTCAAAATTAAATAACGCGGATAGCAGATGGTTTACTACATACCTCTGTAATAAAAAATTTAAAATGCTTATTTAAAACTAGTTGAGATCAAATTTTTGTTCTGATTTGATTCTTTTGAAAGAACATATAATTAAATGTCAAACAATTTATACCTTAAGAAATTTTCATTAAAAGCAGAAACGTTGCCTAAAGATACAATAAAATTCTATTCAAAACATCATCACAATACTTCTTAAAATAATACAATTAAAATAATATATTTTCTAAAATATTAAATTTATTTGTTTTGCAGCTTTAAATTTTAATAAATTCATTTCCAACTGTTAAATTTTTTAGACATATGTTGTAATCCAAATGCGTTAATTATATTATATTTTTTGTTGAAATAATGAAGTTGAATGATTTTTATTTTTATTTAAAAACTTCTTAGAATTAATATTTTTCTTTATAGGTTATAATACCTTTATAATTTCAGTATAAGTTTGACATATTTAATCAACATAAATATGACTATAAATCTATTTTAATTGAATTAATTGTTCAGCTGGTTTGTTTAGTCAGAGTATTTGGTAAATTTCGTCATTTAATAAATTTTCTTTTAACCGCCATTTATTTATTGTAACGCGAATTATAACTTATTCTAGCGTGTATTGAATTTAGTCATATATTGCAATTAATCAAATCAATATATTTGAGTAATTCATTTTGAAAATGTTTAATATTTAGACGCACGTGCTTAAACATCAAAAGAAAATATAAAAAAGACATTAGCATATACGAGAATCAATCAATGAAAATTATAGAGCCTGAGCATGACCTTCCAATATGTATGAAATAATGTTAGTATATTTGGAATTAATGATGATAATCTAAAATAGAGCACGATATAGTTAGATAGATAAAAAGCATATTTATTCAATGATGAATACTTCCTATTTATCAACATGCAGAAAAGAACCGGCCAAATTCTTTAACCGGTTAATAACCAGTTAAAATATTCGTTATCCGGTAATTAACCAATTAAAATTAACTGATTTCAACCTCTAGAATTAATCGCTGTACGATTTCTATATGTTGTTAACTTCAGAATTACTGCGACTTAAAAAGTCACATTTAAAATATTTTATCAATTTTTCTCATAACAGCTTTTTTATATTTATCATTATATTTAAGCGTAAAAAAGTATAAGTATAGAATTTTATATAAGAGAAACTGTAATCGAACATTGAGTCGATAGAACTAGTCTTAAGGATTCAACTTAAACTCGACAAACAAATAAATATTATTTCCATTTTAACCATGAATCGCATTATTATTTGTTAAATCTCTCTTAGTAAAGGCCTTTAAAGATTTGTTATTTTGTTTCTTAGTTTGGTTTCACGGATGGCCATTTTTTTTTGTTATGAAATGTTCTTCGAATATCAACATGATTTTAAACCTTTTATTATAAATTTAATTTACGAACAAGTACGAAAATCTAAGAAAGTTAAATGATGGTCATTAATGATGTATTAACCGTAACTATTGAGATGATTTCTTGTTGAATTATTTATTCATTACTACCATGATATTTTATAAAAATTGATGATTGATTATTTTCACTTGCTGCTAAATCATTCACTTGGAGGAGGAATTCTCTTAAATATACTTTTTAACAAAAACGTAAGTTCAAAAGGCGTTGGTGAAGGTGAATAAAAAAATCAATTTACTTAATGTTAAATATTAAAGTATAATTTAATACAACATATTTCTAACAATATCATTGGACATTTCAAAATAATATTTATTTACGAAGGATAAACATACTATATTTTATCAATAATTGAATTATTTTCTTATTTAAAAAACAAAATAAATGATTTAAAAAAATTAAATGTTTGACTTTGTAAATATATAAGCATTCTTTGCCATCTAATTCAGAAGCATTAAAAACTGGTTCGAATGTTTACATACATATTTGGCGGTCAGTAGAAAAGGGGATCTCATCAAAAATTTTTTTATTGGTTCACTCTGCCGATCATGGTACCCTTTCTTGTTATAATATACTTTACATTCAAATGCAAAAAATTACTTTGTGTCCGAAATTGGCTTTAAAGTATTGCAAATCTTCTTAATCTAAATTTTTTTGGTGTTTTAAAATTTTTATCATTTTTTAAAATTATATCGCGTTGCATTTCTGAGTAAACCTATAAAATTAAAACTTTAAGTATAAACAATGTTAAACTGTGAACCGGTTTCTTCGTCGAGAGAAGGGATTGCCATGCGTTAATATTCAAAGCGATTTATCACTTTTGATACTCCACATTTCAAATGACTACTTCGAATGACCAATCAGATGTTCGATCGAATATTGATATTTATACCGTGACTTTTTTTACTGATATTTTTCACGGTATAAACTGACCAATCAAATTAATACGACATTCTCATATTATAATATTTTGAATTTTCAATTAATAATTTAATTTATACATAGATATTATTTCAATTAATTATTTTTGAATGTAAATAGAAATGTACAATTATAAAATATTGGTGTTTTATCTAAAGAATTTGAAGCCAAAGAAATTTCTTGAAGAGGAATTTGCGATTTTGAATAATTATTATTATTGTTAATTATGTTATTTGATATAATTGAATTATTTTGTTTAGAAATGTCTGTAATATTAATCAATGTGTTTAAAGTAGTTGTTGATGTTCATTAATTTTTTATAAGCACGAACCCCTTGAATACTTTTATACCAGTATGTTGTTATTAAGATCAATTAAAGAAACAAGATATCCAGTATTAGCACGAAATTCTTCAAATTTTGTCATCCAGTTTTTAGTAGATTTTTCAGTATTTTTAACTTTTGCTTTTTCGCGACAATAGGAAGCCTTTTCTTGAGCAATGTCTTGGAAATTATTTGTAGTAACGTTCTTAGAGATTAAGCTAGCTACTGTTTGAAAACTTGGACAATGGTGGATTAAAAAGCTTAGCTTATTATAGTTTAATGTTGTATGACGGAACCGTGATATAAAACAATTATTTCACGGAGACACTATGGAATATCATGATTTTCAAAGTTCCCGTGAAATAATTATTACATATTATTTATTTCTTTTTATAGTTGGTCAAGTTTAGATAATTTTTTTTTTCTCCGATAGATGATTCGAATTTTTAGTTTTTTTTTTTTGGATTCGGTTCGATCTGCTTCGGAACTATTTTTTTTTTTTTTTAACTCTATTTTTTCTAATAGATGATGCTTTCGGCATCAAATGCATTGATAAGTTTTTTTTTTTTTTATTCATTAATTTTTTTTTAAAAGCAGTACCTTCGGGTTGTTTCGGTGATTTTTTCAGCTTTCGGGCTAGATCCACGATTTCTGACGGGTTGTATCATTTCGAACCGCATAGGTAATTTTTTTTTATTGATTGCATTTATTAATTTTTTTTTTTTTTTAAAATTTCAGGTTCGATCGCTTAGGGGCGCTAGCAATCGAAGATTTCTTTATTTTTTTTTTTTCTGGTTTTGCGCCGTATAGGTACCTCTTTCGGGCTGATTCGCTTTCCAAAATTTAGACAGCGTAGATCGCTGAATTACTAAAGATTTCTTAATCAGTAAGAAAGAATTAGAACAATATGATGTAACTTCCCATCAATTTTATCATAGAAACCAAAAATGTGTGCATTTCACTAAATTGAATATCAGTTATTCAAAACCTTTATCATTTGTCGAAATATATAAGTTTAATAAAAATAAACATAATTATGTATTAAATTAAATTTCTTCAACAATTCAAAGAAAGGTTTTCCTGAACAAAATAAAATAAAAAAATTTCTATATCTTCAACATGAATTTTGTGTAAATATGAAACGTGAATAAAGATTATCCATTATATAATTTTAAAAGCTTCATTTTCTTGACAAAATGTTTAATGTTTTATTAAAAATAAACATTTCAAAAGATTCATCACAAATTTTTATGTAAATATTTTTCTTTAACAATTAAATTTCATTTATTTTTAAAATTTAACTTTTTTTTTTTTTTTAGATGATCAAGTAAATATGGAAGTTTTTACCGTTACACCACAAATCATTAAATGTATAGGTTAGAATTGCATGATCGACCCAAGTGCATTTTTTTTTTCTTTTTCTAAAATTTATAATTAAAAAAAAAAATTCAAAATGCAAGCTGCTAATAATTCAAATGAGTGGATTGAAGAATATATTTCAAGTAAAAATATC